AGAGAGAGAGAGAGAGAGAGAGAGAGAGAGCACTGACAGTGCTGCCAGTCTGAAGACTCTGACGTTCTGAATTGAACTGCAAAGTTTGAACTTAAGTTGTGTATGAAGTTATGAACTTAAATTACTGAATCCAAAGTTCAAAGTTCAAAGTTAATCATACTTTTTTCAAAAAATAAAATCTCTGTTTCTTTAGTCTTGTGCCTGCTTTGCACTGTTTGCAACTCTGCATGTCTGCTAGTTAAATGTGCTGGTTGATTTGCTGCAAGCTGAACTACAAAGTGCCTGCCAACACCCCTGCCCCCCCCCCCCCCGCTGTTTTTTTTTGGTCCGGACATTTGTGCACCCCTGGTACCCGTCCGGACTGTCCAGGTCCGGTGATGTTCGGGTGTCCGGTAATGTCCGGATCACCAGACAGTCCGGACCGGTCCAGACACTGGTCCGGAAGACAGTCCGGAAGTGTCCGGTGTCTGGGTCCGGGGTTACGATGGAGGGCGCACTCAGGATTTCAGGTTATTGGTCAGCGCTGAGTTTGGAAGAAAGATACATCATTAGCCAGGTCATTGAAATGATTGTGGATGCTATCTTTGAATTGCCCTCTTCTTCTGGGCCTCATAAAACATTGCACAAAGTATGAAATTGGAAAACACAAAATGGTTAGTGAAGTGTGAAGCTCAGTGTATAAGCGGCGCCTTGTTATCATGAATTCAAGATCAAAAGGAGGAGGGAGCACTCGCGATTTCAGGTTTGAAATTCAGTTCAGGCATGCATTGAGTACAACACATCCCCACCCGACCCTAAAGCTAGGTTGTATACATTCATGATTTTCTTCGGTTTGATACAACTGTCACGAAGTTGTGACTGAAGCACATAAAATTTTTCAAACTAACACCGGATGTGCTCTTAATTTCTTGCGAATGCCTGATTTAATGCATTGAATACAAGACATCCCCACCCGACCCGAAAGCTAGGTTGTATACATTCATGATTTTCCTCCGTTCGTGTCTGAAGCGCATTTTGGAACTAAAATTATGACCGCACCCTAGGCAGTTTTCCCAAAAAGAGAATGGCTTAGGGGGTTTCCCACAAAATTTATGATGAAGTTTTGACTCTGGGATTGGTGATCATGAGCCTGGCATGTTGTGCAATTGCACACCCCTACAACCCCTAGCCATGTGGCCCTTTTTTCAGCCATCCATTCAAGTGTAGTTGAATTTGGCTCAACTGCCCAAGGCGCTTGCAGAGCGCGCACTTCACTGGTTAACAACAACAACAATTCGGAACAAAATTAATTTAATATCAATTAATATAATTTAATAAGCATATCACAATTCAATAGCTTTGTAAACTAATAAACATCCTCCTGCGGAAGACACCCAAGCCCACTTTTAGGCACTTGCAATCAAGAACACTAGAAAGCTCAATTACTCCTGAGCCGGCCTCGGGAGAGGCGGTTAATGGAGGCCTCAATCTTCAGACTTCTGCCATTTATAACAAAACCCTAAGGTCATTTTAGCCAAACTTGCAACCAATTCATACTCAGGGGCTGAAAGCGGGGGTCCCATTTAACCACTTGTGCCAGGCCAAATGAAAACATTACTGTGAGCTAGAACACGCAAACACTAGGACCACCACTAAGTTAATTATATGGGCATACTCACATTGCAACCTGTCGACTCAGCTCTGGATGTGACTCTCTCTCTCTCTCTCTCCCTCTCTCTCTCTCTCTCTCTCTCTCTCTCTCTCTCTCTCTCTCTCTCTCTCTCTCT